TTCTCTCTCCCTCTCTCTCTTCCCAAGCTTGGTCGCGCTGCTCTAGCTTTGCTCTATACCAACGGCTACTACATACGTTCCAAGCTTGACAGCGCTTTTTTTGTAAGCTGCCGCCGTCCCTTTTGGAAGTGTTCTCTTATATGATTGCCCGAGCTACAATGCGATTTACTTTGATTCGTTCCTAGCTAAATCTTCTTTATTCACGATGAGACAAAATTTGATGCACCATTTGACAAATGAGAAATATTTTGCCAACTGCTCATCAATATTTACTCAGTGTGTTCTCATTGAAGCTTGATATTACTACTGAATTTTCAATCCTTCATTCTAATCAATTTCATTCAATCAATTTAAGTTGTAGAACAAACCCAAAAAGCTCAAATAACCACGAGAACATTTCTTTGTTTAAAATTTACAAGCTTATCGCTTACGTTTAACTGACCTCGGAGTATACTATCCAACTGCATATATAGCGCTCGTCAATTTTTTCTCCCGACGGAGTAGAGAAAAGATCGAAGTTGTCGTGGCTTATATCTAAATTGTATCGGGGCGAGCGAGCGCGCGCTTGGCATCCTGCCGTTTCGAAAGAGGCCTTCCGTGACTTAGCTCCGCCACTTAGTCTGTCTAAGCTCTTGCGCAGGGTAACGTCTCGCATACCAAGTGGCCGAATCCAAGCGAGAGTGAGTGAGGGCTCGACAAGAGAGTTCGGAGCGGATTCCCTTTGACGCACCTTTTTTTCCCGCAAGAGAGCAGTTTCCTGACTGACTAATTGAATCGCTTTTCTGCGAGATTGCATGCTTTTATTCTTATTCTTTTTCCTCTTCATTTGAACATTTGTTTTTTCTTTTCCACGTAATATTTAAATAGAGGCATTTATGAAAATAAAAATGACGAATTCATAAGACTGTTGTTCGTAGGTCACCAAATAGAATTATATTTTTTTAACGCAACCCGACCCTAAGAAACTACAAACTAGATCTGTGAGCGCTTAAAATGATCGTTACAATGTCAAATGTATTTTGATAATTATTCCCTCCCCTTTCAAAAACAGTATAAACGAATCTGAAGCAATCCGTGTATGTAAAAAACTTTTTCTTCTGTGTATATTTTCTCTCTTTATTGTCGTTGTGCATTGCCTTCGACCTACCTTTCATTTGAATTAATGTAGATTCGCAATGATTAAAGAAAAGCGCGAAAGAAAAAGAACACTTTTATGTGGAAGTGTTGACCTTATTCTTGTTTTATTTACGCATTTTAAACGTGTGAACGCAAACACGAAATTTGAATGTGAGTTCATATAGAACGTGCGTGGGAGGGGAGAACGAACCGAGTGCTGAAGAGTTGCGAGAGGCCGGTAAGATACGTAATTGCTCGGGAATTTAACGGTGGGAACGTGTCGCTTTAACGGCCAATAACAAAGTCAAAATGAATCGTAAAACGCTCTGAAGAGTAAAAAACATTTTGGAACTCACTTGCAAGTGCATTCTCCAGACACTATTATTATTATTATTATTATTATTATTATTATTATTACTATAGGGATAGCAAAATTTTTTTTATCATAAATTTTATCTAAAATTAAGATACTCTATTTTTTCATCGTAAATAACTATAGTCAGATTTATTTACCAAATTAATTTGGCTCTCGATGGAAGCCTAATGACGAAACTTGACGTTATAATTAAATGATGTTTATCTGATGAAATAAGCACGATAAACAGGTAATACCCTCGAAAACTGCAACTTTTCTCTTGGAGCTTGGGTAGATCCTTATCATGGAATAAGCTATCCAATTATTCCCGTTCTCTTTCTCTAACCCCCGCAGGGCTTCGCGCGAGTGTTTATGCAGACAGAAGAGAACTTTTTCGGACTTTTGCTCATAGTACAATAAATACAGACGGATTAAACGGTTTACCAATTACGCCTATCCCAGCCGAGACGACTAGGGCAATTTGGTTTGATTATTTCGACGCTGCCTGTGTATACAAAAGCCTATGTATCGATTAACTTTAGCCATTCGGTGCGTGAACGATAGTCAAAGTTTTTGTCGAACGAATGTACGTCGCTTTTTATATTGCCTTTTAATGGGTGCGTAGTATAACGCAAACAAATTAATAATAAATCAGTTTCCAAATGGAGATGTATTCATCTAATTTTTACGATGATCGCATTTTATTGTGAGTAGGTACACTCTTGCTGATTAGAGAACGAGAGTCACAGCGAACGTCTTGATTACGATTTCACGTGGCAGAGTGTGGCATTTGGTCGCGCTCTGTGATACGACTGCTGCGAAGAGGATTGAGAGGTCTAAGCTCTTCGCCCCATCACCGGAATTGCCTGCAGCTCTTTTTTCATTTCCTCAGTTTCTTTTTCTCTTTCTTTTATTTCGCCACAATATTCAGGCTAGCGGCCTCTTCTTTATTCTACAATTTTTTCCCCTAAACTCTGACGATTTTTCTTGGAATTAATTACGCAGCCACTGATTATCCTCTCTTTTTCTGTCTCGTACTCTCCTCGACTTTTCGCTTTCAACTTTGAAGCAATTAATTTCGTGTACTTTCTAAATCAAAAACTTTGCTCCTAGAGCCTCATCAAAAGTTGGCCAGCAGTAGCATCACGCACTTAAAACTTAGCCTCCCTCTCTCTACCATTCCTTAGGATTGCCTTAATCGATGCTTTTCTCTTTTTTTTTCTTGTTTTTCTCGAAACAAAATTCACGTTAGACTCCTTGTTTCGAGAGAGCGCGCGTGAGAGAGAAAGAAGGAATAGGGAGTTTCTTCCTTGCAAGTCATCCTGATTTTTCTTGGTGGAAGAATTCGCGTGCGAACGAACAAAGTCCGTATCCGACAAGCGAGAAGACAGAGAAGTTTTCGACGTGGAAGAGGGATGCTCTCCTTCCGTCATTGCGAATAGTTTTCTCTCGTCCCTTCTGTGAACGACAGCGGGGAATCAGAAAAAAGGGAAAAAAGAAACGAGACGAAAAGGAGATCAGCGAGAGAAAGAGAGAGAGAGAGAGAGAGAATGCCAAGGTGAAAAAGTCCCTTGAACGAGCGGGGCGTTACGAGTCGCGGCCTCGATTTTTCTTCTTTCCCTCGGCAAGCTGGGCTTATTCTTGCGCAACGCCGAGTGGATATCTTCTTCAACGTTTACTATCGATAATTATTCTTTTCTTGATATAAACGCGTTGAGTTCAATGTAAATTTTACTTACAATGGTAATAAGGCGACCAAATTATTCGAATTAAAGATCTATTTAGGTATGTGATGAAAAAAACTTTTATCGAAAAAAATCGAGTCGCAAAAATATTCGTTAGCTGAAGAATAGTGAACATATAAAAAACCAATTTTCTCGAAAAGCGGACCATTCGAATTCCCGTAAAAGCAAACAAAGCCTTTCACCGCATGCACGTAAAAATTCTTTTCCGTAAATATTGAGCGCTACTCTACGTACTGGAAAAAAAGCGAAAGGAAAAAAAGATATACGTCACTCGTAAAATCAAGCGGATTCACTCCGAGGCACGAAAAAGTTCCCCTTCCGGATTTTTTTTATCGCGGTAAACCTCTAGGTGAGAAAGGAAAAAGTGTAAGGATGATCAGTCGACAATACGGTCCTATCATAAAACTCGCAGTGCCTATAACGAGCACACATGTGATAATTGATGAACTTTATGATAATAACTGAAATGAGAATCTCTCACTTTCTTTCTATGCATTAAATTCTATGTTAATCACTCTACCATATTATTACCATCACAGTTCTTTTGTGCCTTGCTGCTTCGCTTCGATGCGGTATTTCACTAACGAATGGATTTTTTATTGAAAATATATTCAATGGTGAATTTATAAGCTTCATCGGTATGGAGAGTGTCTTTGACGCTTAATTTTCCATTGATGTTTCATTTATATTGTTCAATAGCTATAAATTACTTTTTAAATGGTCAGAACGTGTTCAATATAATTTTAGCCGTGCATTTGCTCCTAAGCTTTTATTCTGAAAATTATTTAATAATTACAAGGCTTGCGTATTTACGAAACTGTAATCTGATCGCTTTATTTTCCTGGGACTTGCGTATTTCGTTCGACAATTGCTGAAATGTTATACTTTCGCGAAACGTATAATTATTTTTCTTAATTAAAGGGCTTTTACTGTGAGTGCTTATCCGGGTTTTCCGCACACGTGGACATGGGAGTCGATTAAATCTTTTAGACTACATTTTTAAAACCAAATTAAAAGCTTGACTAGGTTGAAAAAAAGAAACTTGTGGTAGAAAAAAAGGTGTTCTTTTTATAAATTACGCTGAAATGGAAGCTAGATGGTGGTGGGTGAAGAGAAGCAAGTAGATAAACAATGCCAATGGCTTCCCATACCGTCCGCGAGAATTGGCTATTTGACAGCTGCAATGGTTGCTGGGCGACAGAACTCTGACCATTTATATTTTATCTTTTCCTCTTATCAATTTCTTTGAGCGGCTGTGTGCTCATGCCATTTTTCATCGGCATCGGGACGCCTCGCTTCCTCTCTCTCTCTCCCTTTCTCTGTCTCTCACTCTCTTCACGTAAGAGAGATAAGAAAGCGTTAAGCGAGTGACCATAGCAGAAGCAGCAACGGTGACAACAACGGCAACGACACGTTATTAATTGTTGTCGTTTGCGAGCGATGGAAATGAGCTCTCTGTGCAGCGTAGAAAAACAAGAGAGGAAAAGTTCTCCCTTTGTAGAGTCACAATGGAACCGATTTAATGGGTATATCTTGTCGAGAAATCGCCCACCAAGACTTCCCCTCACCCTAGTTCTTTTTCTTCTTCTGTTTCTTTTTTTATATCGTATACACTTTCCAACTTGGTAAATTAGTTTATTTGGGCTCTCTTTATCCGTTTTTGTTTTAGTCTACGGAGTTTTTTTCGTTACCGTCCTCGCAACGCCAATGGCATTTACATCTATACACTTTAGTCAATGAAATTCATCTTGTTAATGCATATTGGTTTGTTTCTCTCTTTACAGATGGTGACAAGGACAAAGAAAATATTCGTCGGCGGATTATCAGCGCCAACGACGCTGGAGGACGTCAAAAATTACTTCGAACAATTCGGCCCGGTAAGTCTCGATTCAATACATAATTAATTCCCGTACATAGTATTATGTCGCTCGAAGTAGCGTGCCAATAAACAAAACGGATCGGAAGAAAATAAGGAAATGAAGTAGCAATGAGGAGGTTCGTTAATAATTGAAGGGAGAGAATATCTGCCTATGTAGACGCGTATCGATATGAAGTTTCCACTCGACGTTTTGTCTCAGAATTTCATAATTCCGTTGAAATAATAACCATTCACGCTTTCTCTCTCTCTCTCTCTCTCTATCTGCAAACATCAGATAATTCAGTCGTGCTATTGGCACTATTTGCCTGCTCTCAAATCGATACTCTCCCTGGCTCGTCGAATATTCCGAACGTGATCAAAGATCCGTGCGTACATATTGTTCGTTAATATACATACCCGTGTTCTGACTAGCCTGCTCGTTACATCGCGCTGCTTGTTATAGAATTTGAAATTTCAGCTGATTATTGTTGATAGAGGACAGTTATGAACGAACGCAATGCTTTGATAATAATCGTATTATAGTACGCATAGGATTTATTAATCAGCGAATTCGCCCCAAGGATCATTATGATTATGTTGAAATGAGTGAGACTCTTGTCTGGAATAACAAATCAATGAAACCGTTTGCGTGCGAAATTGATTGAACCAATTTTTCGATAGCCGTGATATAATCGGATTGCGAATACATTAATATGACCATTCGGCTAATCGTGTTAATCGAACGAATTGTTGCTGATTCATCGTAACTCGCTGTTCTACGACAGAAATCGATGTAATCTGTCCGACAAAGATTATCATAAAACGAAAAGTATGTAACGATAATGGATAATTGCCGGAAGTCCAACAATAACTCTTTAATGCGTGCCACAACGATATTTGTGTCGCTTTAGATACATATATATAGAATCCGAATATTGCCCGAGAGTGGCATTCAACGCGCATAATAGCTAATCAGTGGCGGCGCGCGTCGACGATGGCGGCGAGATAGCTCATAGAAAAGCAGAGGATATCAAGAGCTGTGAATGACGACAGTCTTGAGATCGTCAAAGCTAATGCAGTAGATAGTAGTACAGCAGGCAAGGCGCGAGTGCGCGTTCGCGTCTAGTGCGGATAATTGAGCGCCACGGTGACGTGGCACTTGTGTCTGATAATTGGGGTTCATGCCGAGCGCCAAAGCATCAAATATCGACGCTTCTACTAATTAGTCAGTGCAGCCACCTGCCACCGCTTTTCCATAATTAATGCCCCTACGGCTTGATCTATCGTTATTCTTATTAACATATCATTAATAATCTGCGCACTACAAACTCACATCTCTAACGATGCTAAGTCAGAATTATGTCAGAGTGGAAATGCTTTTTTTTCTTGTTTGCGTCGACATTCAACCAACAGATCTGACAGATTAACTGACCCTGGAAGAAAAGATTACACGCTTCATGAACTTGGATTAAATGAATAAATTGCATTATTGCATTATTATGCCATACATGCAATCTGATAATTATCGAAGTTATTGATTTTAAAGTTGAATTTAAAAATTGAATTTAAAGTTTTTATTGCAGCATTCAAGTGATAAAGTAATATTAATATTTGATATGCGTGAGAGTGACTGGTCATAAAGTAACTATGAAATTGAATAAAAGAGTTCTTCATACCGACCAATTTGAATGATTTATAGGTGAATCCAATGGTCTAGTCAATTTGAGCGGGAGCGAAAGTATGACAATATTAAAGGGACGCTGATAGCTTCGCGTAAAAAGCAAGTATGCAATCGAGCACACGTGTCGGTACTACCGACTAAAAAAAATAGAAGCAAGCAATCACAGCATTGCAGCCCTGCAGACGCCTGTACGTAATATGCGGCATCATGGTCGTTATCCAAATGCGAGTCATCAGCAGCACGCATACCTATGTGCGCATAATCCCATAGGTGTATTACCAGCCGGAGGCATAAAAAGTTTCAAATTCCTGACCCACATGTGCGATGCTATCAGTCTACCAGCCTTCTTCTCTCTCCTCACGCCCGTGCAAACAAACAAAAAAGAAGACACGCGCAATCTCTCTGTCATTCAGCCTTTTCGCTCCCTCTGGCCCTTCTTACTTAAGTATAATTCGAGGTTCGTCGTAACCTTATATCGCTCTACTGTACGCAAGAGCGCTTTATTTTCCTTTTATTTAACCGCCACCGCAGCGCCGATTCGTATCGTCGTAGTCGTCCTCTTCCCCTTTCCCTTTTTACGCACTGAACTTTAGCTACAATGACTTTCCCTTCTACATTGATAAAGCTAATCTTATTGCTGGTAATGTATCACGTTTTATTTGTATTGACCCGCACGATTCTCTACATAGTCAAAGTTGTTGCAAATAAGTGCGGCTTTGGGCAGAAAATTCGTCGACATAAAATCGAGGGGAGTAGTCTCAAAAGAGGACAAAGAATGATTCTGTTATGCGGGTAGCGGTCGCACCATCTGGCTATGCAGACATTAAATAATATTGATTTTATACTTGTCAAGATTGCAGCATTAATTTTGAATTTTGAGGGCTATCTGAGATGATGGATAGAGAGAGAGAGAGAGTGAGAGAGAGAGGGAGAGAGCGAGAGAGAGAGCGGGAGAGCGAAAAAAACGAGAGAGAGAGAGAGAGAGAGAGAGAGAGAGAGAGAGAGAGAGAGAGAGAGAGAGCGAGAGAAAGCGAGAGGAAGAGGGCGAGATCATATTTGGTTTCCATATTTTTTTATATTCGTATGTAATCAAGTTTTATTAAGTACATGATAAATTGATGCTTACATTAGATAATATATATGAAGGGACGAACGTCGTGCTATTTTCCGTAAAGTAATGAGTAAGTTTACATGAAAGTTTCATAGAAAATGTATACCAGGTTCTAAGAGAACGGAATTTTTTATTCTATAACTTATAAAATTCAGCTCATAATGTTAGCTATAAATGACAGTGTCATTATTATTGGAAAAATATAGGTGAATCAATTTTTCTAGCAATTATAAGTGTTTCATGGGTGAAAATTTTGTATTACGGATCGCCGGGGTAGTTAAATTTTCTTACCGCGGAAACAAATGCAAATGTACTTTTCATTCATACAATTTTTGCATTCACAAATGGATTTTTACGTAACAACATTTTATTTGAAAGCAAAAGCTTCTCTCAAGCACACAAAAGCGATTCGAAAAAATACTCCCGCAATTAATCGCAAAAAGAGTTTCAACTCTTTCAACCATTCTCCCTTTTCCCTTTTTCTCTACCCCGTGCGCAATGCCGCAATTTTCAGGATGCATCGTCGCACTCTCTTTCCCTCCCTTCCATTTTCCGCTTATCCCCACTACGACCTGAATCCGCTTACAATGATGAACATTATTGTCCATTGTTTAATCTTTCGCCGACGTTTTTACTTTCTTTCTTCCTCTCTTTCTCTCTCTCTCCCTCTCTCTCTCTCTCTCTCTCTCTCTCTCTCTCGTCTATTAACACAGCTCGTCGACGGTCCAGCAGCAAATAAATAAATTAAGCGACGCAGCAGTGTTTTCATCGCACAATGGCTTTTATCTTACTTTTTAGCCCGATACACAGTATCCTATTTTGCGTCTTTTATCGGCTGATAAAAAAGTAATTAGCAGGCCTTTGATAAGATGGTAAACGATGACCACTGCAGTAGTAGCGTACAGCCCGAGATCATTTCGCTTTATGAGCACATTATGCTTGTGTGTAATCTGCGAAAATACGCTCGTAACGACTTTACGATCCACGAATTAATTGCAAATTACGCGCGTTCACTCGGTCTGTTGATTTTTACCGATTATAGTCTGAATAAATATTTGTTTTCTTTTTGATGATTCAACAATGCTTGGTATTGCTGATTTATCTACTCGAATTCGAAACGCAAAATTACTTCGAACGAGAAAACTCAGTAACAATTTGATCCAAAAAATAAAAGTTCTATTTTCAATCTTCACATGACCATTACAGTCGGTTCAAATGAGATTGGAGATATAGAGAATATTTTTGCGCAGTTCAAAGCAGTATCAGCGAGTCTCGTACTAAAATTGAATTATCTAGCGACAAGCGTCGAGTAAGAGATAGGACGTAAGTCACGAAAGTTTGGCTAAAAACCAAATTGATCTCTCAATCTCTTAAAGTGGGTCTTATGTTGGGGTGGGGCGAGCAATAAATTGAATTTCGATTGTCGACTTCTCAAATTATTTTGAAAAAAAAAAACGAACATTGATAGGCACGCGCTTGCAAAGAATATCACTATACTCGTAAAATTTATAAGCATCTTTTATACTGGCAACTCGACGTTTTGAGCAATTTATTAATTTTCTCATTTCTTCCTTTCTTATTTAATCTGCACAACCCCTCACCGCTTCATTGTGTACGGGCAATTGTGTATATTTGAGATAAAGCTGTGCAGGTGAAAAGTTAACCCGAGAAAACAAAATTGAAAACTATTACGTTATTTCAGAGTTCATGGGTAATTTATACTGATATCGTTATCAAACATGCATACGATGAATAAATAGTTCAATGTAATAAAAATAATAAAAGCCCAGCATCACGATACTTGGTTAATGTAAATAATGCAATTATTGAGGAACTATTAAATGCAATTCTGTTACGGCCCACTAATATCATTATTACGTTTCTCAGTCAGTATGAAACCCAATAATTAGAACATTTCCAATCGGTTGCTCACGAGTTCGAATTTCTGACTTATTAATTACAACGAGGTTTATTTTTGACGAGTCACCTTCGATATTGTAACCCAGTTTTAATGAGTACGCAGCTTGATGTAATATTCAGAAGCAAGAGGGCACATGAAAGCACTTAGGTGACCTATATGTACCTATTTATACGAGCTCGATGTAAAAGCTTTCTCACTTCTGTATCCCGCGTGCGCCCAATTAAAATAGTTATCGAAGTATAAAGTCACTGAGAATGAAAAAGCCTGACACTTGGATCTCTATTTCTTTTGTCTCTCACCAGACAC